CCCAATCATGTGCAGATATTTTTCACATGATTAGATCGTGGAAGTGGATATTCACACAATTTTTTCAGTAAAAATTTTCAGGTTCTTTAGTAAACCAGCCTATGTCTAGTTTGCTTGTACATTAACTAGCATGATACAGTCACGTTTACTTCCTACTGTATCCATGAATGAATATTTCTGTGCATGTGTAGCACAGTAAGTATAGCAAACGTGCACACAGAGATGGATGCGAACCTCCATTTTGGCAAAGGATCTTCCATCTTGTATCATTTCTACTCCCAAATCAGCTTTCCTCATCTCCCCTCCCTCTCTGTTAAGTGACATGTGGTCTGTTCGATGCAGATCACAGGCAGCAAACTCATTGGGAGGGCGTCATGGTTATAAATCCCACACTAGCTGGTGCCCCTATGGCTGCGAGACTCTTGCTGGAGAAGGGATCGTAAAGCCATAAACAAAGCCCTCACTGAGCTTCAAAGACATTCCAGGTAGTCGTAAAAACAGACTTACATTTAAAAACTCACTTTTCCATATAATTTTATATCTTCAAATAGGACATAATTACATAAACACGGAGCACATATTCACTTTAATACAAGTCGCCTGATATATTACACCCCCTAGCTGGCATATACAGGAGAGCAGAAAATGATATCTCCTTAACCATCCAAGCAGGTATGTCATATTTCATACCTAGGCGTTCCGCAGGTGATTCTGCATATTAATCTACTAGTGGCAAGGCTGCTAAATGCACTGAGAATAAGTTATGAACCATGACATCAACTGGGAGAGTTTTTGGTTCTAGCTTGGGTATCCGCACCAACACCCCTCCCCAAATGAGGCAATTGGTTCTCTGCTTTAAGGAGACACCCTGCTGAGTTCCTAGAAAAAGCTGAGCTAAGCTGAGTTGAGTTGAGTGAAGTTGAAGATTCTCCCTTTTAACATCAGAATTAACTTTGGGAGATAAGGCATCCTTTTGGCTCTGAAACCTGATCTGCTTAAAACCAAGGCTGACGGCAAGTACTTTATCCCTCTAAACTTCTTTCTGTTATCTCTTTGCTGTGCTATTGCTATTTGTATATATATATATATATTGGCTACATCTTTTTCTGTAATTATTTTTATTGCACCCTTTTGACCTTTTAGTAATAAATCTTACTTTCTGAAAGTGTTCAACTGTTTCTAAAGCTCTTTAATGCAAACTAAGAATCCCTGCCTCTGAAGAGAGCTACTGTGTGTGTGTTTTAAACTTCAGTATATCTATGCCTGTGGTGACAGTGGTATACCGACGCTTAACATCATAGTATTATTGCTGATATTGCCAAGTTTCCTCTTTCTCTGTACAAAAAGGAGGTGGTGGCAGTGTGAAGGGTTAATTGCGTAATTAACCTGACCCAGTAACAATCGCTCCCAGGCTGCAGAAACATAGATTGTGGTCCATTAGCAGGAAAATCTTTGTGCAGAGTGCAGCTGGGCGTGGCATTGTTACGCACATGACAGCGTGGTTTTAGATTGGCTAGTCCTTCGGTGACAAGTTTGGTGAGAAGGGCTGGGGTCTGACTCCGCGATTGTCACAGTAAGTATATATGATGGACACCACAACAAAACCCTGCTACTAGGAGCTGTGCCATTCATAACAAAATACCTGATTTATATACAGTACAGTGTGTCCGCGATTGTGTTAATGTGCCTGCAAAAGCCGAACAACCCAATAACATTCACACAATATGTACTGTGCACAGCAACAAGCACATTGAGTGTAGTATGTATATGGTAAAAACACAAGGATATGGGATTTGCTATTCACCCAAACTTGGGTCGTCTTTAATATTGATTGGACCCTAGGCAAACATTTTCTTGGGCCCCCCCCCCACCCCCATCCCCCTGCTCAAATGTAATTTCTCTCTCCACTTGCTCCAAGACATGCAATAAATAGCAGAATACAAAGAAAACAAAAAGAGGGCACACCGGCCTAGTGCATTATCGTAAAAAATATTTATTAAAAGGATAAAAAGTAAGTATCATACTCACAATGGACATAAGACAAAGGCACATCACACTAAACAGCAGTGTCCAATCCACACTGCATCTAAGTCCGAACCCTGGACTTCCAACTGGCTAACGCCTTTCGAGGACTCAGCCTCTTTCTCAGAGGTGATGAGAGAGAGGTGGGGTGAAAGAGAGGGGGAGTGAGAAAGAGAGAGGGGTAAGAGAGAGGGGGGGTGAGAGAGGAGGGATGAGAGAGAAAGGGAATGAGAGAGGGGAATAAGAGAAAAGGGGGATGATAGAGAGGGAGTGGGGTGAGAGAGGGGGGAGAGAGAGGTAGATGGGAGAGAGAGGTAGGGTGAGAGAGAAAGGGAGTGAGAAACAGAGAGAGAAGGAGTGAGAAAAAGTTTATTTAGAGAGAGAAGGGGTGAGAGAGGGGGGTGTGAGAGAAAAATGAGGGAGCGAGAAAGAGAGAGGGGTGTGGGGGTGACAGAGAGGGGGAGTGAGAAAGAGAGAGGGGTGAGAGGGGGGGTGAGAGAGACAGAGTAGGGTGAGGGAGAGGGGGGTGGGAGAGAGAAAGGGGAGTGAGAGAGAGAGACCCTAGCCCTGCCCCTGTCTGCAGTTCCTCCTGTGCCCCCCTGTCCCAGTCTGTGGGTAGGTGAGAGTGATGCCTAGTACCTACCTCCCACCTGTCCTTGTCCTCTGTACAGATCCACCGGGCACCCTGTTCTCCTGTTGATGTCGGAGCTGGGAGCGGAGAGGGGGTTGAAAAGGAGTCCAGTCTTTGGGAGGTGACAGGGATGGTGAGCCCTCTGCTGCTCATCTCAATCAGGGAGGTGGTGAAGGTCTTCTCCCTCCTGGGCTCTCAGGCCTAGCCACCCTTGTGCTGCTTGCCTTCCTCATGGCCTCTGCCTCCGGGGCTGCCCGATTGCTTTGTGGAGCAAGGCGCTATCATTCTGCCTGCACCCCGAGCATACTGCTGTTGGCACCAGATTTAGCTAAGCTGCCCTTCTTCCCAACACCACTGGACTCTCGATGACAAGGGGCTCAAAGAGCAGCTGCCTTGGGCCCCACAATAATGACTGGGCCCAGGGCATCTGTCGCTTTTGCCCTGCATTAAAGACATCCCTGGCACAAACTAATTTTTTTGGGCACACATTTCAGGCTGTCTTCATACGACTGTGTTGTGGTATTACATAGTAAAACACATTACAAAGTGCAAGGTAATGCAAGGAACTGTGGGCAGTACCATTGCTTTACAATGGCACTTCACTACACAGTAGAGTAGGTGCTGATTGGACTGTACTGCAGCCCACCAAAACACAGATAGTGTGCATTTGAGCTGCAGGTCCAGTTTTTGTTCTGTTGATGTGCATGTACAGCAGCAAGGCAGCGCTCCTACACTGGATAACGTACCTAGTACGTGATGCAGCTCTTCCTCCTGCGCGTGCCCACCACCCCAACCATGCTGTCATTAGACAGAGTACAAGCTGATCAGCGGGTCCTGGCCAATGATTGATGGTCGGGAACTGGTGATCAGGGAAGAGGCTGACAGGACAGAGTAAACAATACAGAGCTCTGCCATGTGAGCAAGGATGTGCTGATTTTTGTTTCCCTACAAAGCAGGGAATAAAAACTGTCTCATCCCCTAGTAAAAGTACACACACAAGGCACTGTTAGGCATACACGTAATCCTTTGATTCCCCTAGATGTTAACCCCTTCCCAACCAGTGTCATTAGTACAGTGTCAGTGTATATTATTAGCACTGATCACTGAAATAGTGTCACTGGTTCCCACAAAGTGTCAGTTAGTGTCAGATTGACCGCCGTGCTATTACAGTCCCACTATAAGTTGGTGATCGTCGCCATACTAGTATAAGATAAAATAAATAAATAAAAAAATTCCAGTATATATCCCATAGTTTGTCAACACTATAACTTTCACGCAAACCAATCAATATAGATTTATTGGGATTTTTTTACCAAAAATATATAGCAGAATACATTTTGGCCAAAATTTATGAAGAAATGTGATCTTTTTAACTGTTTTTTTTATTGCATATGTTTTGTAGCAGAAAGTAAAAAATATTGGGTTTTGTTTTCAAAATGGTAGGTCTTTTTTAGTATATAACAAAAAAAATAAAAACCCCAGTGGTGATCAAATACCATTTTGTGTGAAAAAATGGTATAAATTTCATGTGGGTACAGAGTTGCATGACCACGTAATTGTTAGTCGAAGTAACACAGTGCAGTATAGCAAAAAAATGGCCTGGCCAGGAAGGGGGTAAAATCTTCCAGATGGCAAGATTTTGCATATAACATCCGTGCAAATGAATGGCACAGTGTGAAGAGAGCCTCATACCGTACTGAACAGTCATGCTGACCATCACATTATAGTTTTTTTTGTGTTTCAGTAGAATCTTTATATGCATTTTACTAGTTCTATGTTGAATGCACACTGCAAACAACCCACATCATATGCACTGCATTTAAGTACACTTTAGAAGAGCAGTTAAAGCATATTATAGATAAGTGAATGCTCATGCATTTATTTTTAGTAAATAAGGCCCTAATGGGTAACGCTGATGCACATTAATTACTTTCACTGCTATATGCAAATAAATGTACATCACGGAGAACTATTTGCAAAATACTATTGACATCTGGCTCAACCACCAAAAAAAAAGTTTCCCCATTTTGCTAGACCCCCAAAAAATCCAGCTGTTTTTAAATATTACTTTGTTTTCACACCATTCACATGTTCAGTGTGTGGCGTTTCATGTGGTAGGACATGTTGACATCTCAACACAATTTTTTTTAGCCAAATGCATGCATATAGAGAGAATTTTAGCACACTCTAAATATGCATTGGGTCCAATTGACTTTGAATGATGATGCATATCTTATTTATTATTGGTATTTGTATATTACCAGCAATCTTTTGCAGCACTTTGTATATTTATTGTACATTCACATCAGTCCCTGCCCTCAAGAACCTTACAGTCTAAGGTCCCTAACTCACATGCACATACTTGGTGCCAATTTACTTACCAGTGTGTCTTTGAAGTATGAGAGGAACCCCACACATGCACAGGGAGATCATGCAAACTCCAGGCAGGTAGGGTTGAAGTTGGGATAGGAACCAATGACTTTAGCACTGCCAGGTACAAGGGCTAACCACTATGCTATTGTGCCAGGGGCGGACTGACAACTCATGGGGCCCCCGGGCAATAGGGGATCATGGGGCCCCTGTGTCCTTGCCCAACTCAAAAAAAGCCTATGAAAAAGGTACCAGGGGCATCTCATGGGGCCCACTACTGACCGGCAGTGCCCGAATTTCCATATGGTCAGTTCGCCCCTGTATTGTGCTACCCATCTAGAGTATGTTACTCTTCTTTTCTGTAATGCATGTTATAATGAGAATCATCAGAAATATCACCAGCACGCCATTAGCAGAAGTTACAATCAAATCATTTGTTTGTTACCAAAGGACAAAGGGATGTTTCAGGGCTGCTTGTAGACAGCTGCCTACAAGGGTATTGCTGTTAGTTGGGGACTTTGGGCTGCCCAGGTGGGGAAGGGTTAATGCTGGGTCTGCCAGTTTCCAAGGCTTTTTCTGGATGCGCCCTCCACCCTGTGCTATATATAAATAGCAAGGAAAGCTGGGTCCAGGACCAGTCAGAGATGGGAGGACTGCATGGGAGAAGAGAAAAAGGTCCAACAAGGAAGATGTAACCAAGAGTAACCTACGATCATTACCACTCTAATGGAAATCACCTGCGTAGGACTTTTCTATGTATGGACTTCTACCAGAAACAGCCCAGGAATAGCTAGTTAGGAACTTAACTGTTCATGAACTGTAATGTTGCAGCACCTTCAAGTAAAGTTTCATTAACTGTTTCTGAGCCTGGTCTGAAGTTACTCAAAAGGGGTGCATGGTGGCATATCTAGAAGAAATGGGCCTGCAAATCACACACGGTGTAAAAGAGGAAAGCCACCAAAAGGGTTATCTCCACAGAAGAGTCATGGGAGACTAATTGCCATGGGAACCATGAACTGGTGCGAGGGTGTTAGCAGGTGACAGATCCTATGGTAGCGAGGGGGGCGGTGCTCTGGTTCCCTCCTTAACAGCCAGTTCCCCCAGAGAGTTATCAAGACTGAACCCTTGAGACTCCAGGTACCTCGCCACATGGTACAGGAGAGAGAAGGAGTTAAGTATGTGCACATATGACGTCCACACTAGTGCACGATGGGACCCCACTCTATCACTGGGAGTGAGGTGGCAGGGATACATTGTACTGGTGGAGAGGGCATGAGCTCAGTGGTGTTCTTCCTAAATGCAACATTCACAGAGCAAAGGTGTGTATCAGCAGAGGATAGAATGCTTTACAGAGGGACTCGGCATGTCCCACATCTGCACACAGTGTACAGCTCATCTCTGAGCCGGAGTACCACCTCCTTAATGTTGACTTGCACATTAAAACAGCCCCACCAGGCCCCAGTCATTGATGAGCACATACACAAGAAGAGGTACCCCCATGTGCACAGGTGAGGTGCCCCACCCACTTGCTGAAGACCCCTTCCTTGGGCAGGTAACCTCTTGTCCTTTGGTAGGAAATAAATGGTTTGCATGTGACTTCTGTTAATGGTGAGATGGTGATATTTCTATGATTTTAGAGGCACCATCTGTCCCTTCACTGTTGCGCTAAGGAAAATTAGGTATATTGCTGAGTGTGCTGGATTATATATATATAATGAGTATCATGACAAGCATTATAATGCACATTATGGTGTGAATGAGCATTAAATGTACCCAAGAGGCATTCTGGTGTCTTTCTCAAGCAAAAACATTAATTCAGCTTATTCCCGTGAATGAATCAAGCATCTGTATGCATTGATCTATGATTTGGAACAGGAAAGGTTAACCAGCCCATCAATACATGATGGCACAGCTGTGACACTATCTGCCAAAAACCTCTTTCTTAAAGAGAAAAAAAACACGGCAGAAAAAACAAAACCTTGCGCCAGCCATAGCCAGACTTAATAACGCCTTGAGGATTTTGGCTGCATGAACACAAAAGGACAAGTGGTTAAAATTCCGGCTAGGCTTCTTTTATGATTAGGAGAATTAACGCAATCCTTTCAGGGGATTGAGAGACAAAATCTGACTTGTAAAGACAGCAGTCCTCACAATCTTTCAGAGGAAGAAGACAAAAAGCAGTGATGTGCATGCCAAGTTAATACAAGATCCCATCTTTAGCACATCTACAGGAGGAAGGGGAGTTTTGACTGGGACCTCCCATGTACCAAGCAGATTCTTCACCGTCATGGGTTTTCTGTGTTCATTCACCTAATCCTCTCTATGTAGCAGGGATGGATGGCCTGTAGAACAATACAGCCATGGTTTACAAGAGATTTAGTTGGTTGCTGCAAGATATTAGCATCTTTTTATTTAGCCTCTGCTTAACCCACTACATATGTTATTACAATTAGCTGCTGCTATGTGTTCTCTTCTCTAATCTTCATTAAAAGGGGATGACGAGGGCAAACATATTGTTTTATGTCTGATGTTTTATTTTTAATAAGGTGTTAAATTAAGTCAGCATTTTGCTCTCTTACCTCACATTTACTACTATATTGTTATGCTTTTTTTTAATTTCATATTAAAATTAATTAAAAAAACAAGTAAACAGTATACAATCTTATCATTCTAATGTTTCTGTACCTATGCAGTAAGTCATAACAACATTATTTAATGAAGTTACAGTATATGTGCACTCTAATGCATATAATAATAATAATGCTGACATAAAAACTCAAATCTTTCCTTTTATTGTTTACATGCAATCCCATGCACACCAGCTCTTGGAATAGGAGATGGAGCCATTCAGAGCTGCTCAACACAGAGCTCCCAGACAGCTTTAATATGCTTAAAGTACTGTATATCTAAAGCCACTTGTTTTAATCTTCTTTTTGTATTTCTTCATTTGCTTCCTGGTTCCTGGCCTAGGTCAACATGATATTATACATCCCAAAAGTCTTTATCAGAATTGTTTTCCTTCATCTAGAGAAGATGCATTCTCAGCTCAGTAGGCTCTCCTACCTACAGTTGCGTTCAAAATAATAGCAGTGTTGAAAAAAAAGAATAAAGCTCAAAATCCTTCTAATAGCTTTTATTTCCATACACACAAATGCATTGGGAACACTACACATTCTATTCCAAATCAAAACATGAAGAAAAATATATCAAATTTGTGTTGTTACCCTAAAAAAATTTGAAGAAAAGTGAATATTAGACTGTTAAAAAAATAGCAGTGTTTGTATTCTTCTTTACAAACTCAAACATTCACTATATAAACTGAAAAATGTTTGAAGATTTCGCTTTCCTTTGAATCACTTAATGAATATTTCGTTGTATAAGCACTGTTTCTGAGAACTGCTGTACATCTGTGTTGCATGGAGTCAACCAACTTCTGGCACCTGTGAACAGGTATTCCAGCCCAGGATGATTGGACTACATTCCACAGTTCTTCTCTATTTCTTGGTTTTGTCTCAGAAACTGCATTTTTGATGTCACCCCACAAGTTTTCTATTGGATTAAGATCCGGGGATTGGGCTGCCCACTCTATAACGTCAATCTTGTTGGTCTGGAACCAAGATGTTGCACGTTTACTGGTGTGTTTGGGGTCGTTGTCTTGTTGGAACACCCATTTCAAGGGCATTTCCTCTTCAGCATAAGGCAGCATGACCTCTTCAAGTGTTCTGATGTATTCAAACTGATCCATGATCCCTGGTATGTGACAAATAGGCCCAACACCATAGTATGAGAAACATCCCCATATCATGATGCTTGTGCAACCATGCTTCACTGTCTTCACAGTGTACTGTGGCTTGAATTCAGTGTTTGGGGGTCGTCTGACAAACTGTCTCCGCCCACTAGACCCAAAAAGAACAATCTTACTTTCATCAGTCCATAAAATATTGCGCCATTTCTCTTTAGGCCAGTCAATGTGCTCTTTGGCAAATTGTAACCTCTTCAGCACGTCTTTTTTTCAACAGTGGGACTTTGCGGGGGCTTCTTGCAGATAGCTTGGCTTCACATAGGCGTCTTCTAATTGTAACAGTACTCACAGGTAACTTTAGACCTTCTTTGATCTTCCTGGAGCTGATTGTTGGCTGAGTCCTTGCCATTTTGGCTATTCTTTTATCCATTCGAATGGTAGTTTTTCGCTTTCTTCCACGTCTTTAAGGTTTTGGTTGCCATTTTAAAGCATTTGCGATCATTTTAGCTGAGCAGCCTATCATTTTCTGTACTTCTTTATATGTTTTCCCCTCTCCAATCAACTTTTTAATCAAGGTACGCTGTTCTGCTGAACAATTTCTGGAAAGACCCATTCTCCTCAGAATTTCCGAGAGAAATGCACTGTAACCAGCATGTAAAACATTTGCTGCCTTCCTTCCTTAAATAAGGGCAATAATTTCCACCTGTTTTTCAAAGAATGAATGACCTCACTAATAGAACTCCACATTGCTATTATTTTGAACATGCCCCTTTCAATTAGTGATTCAATTACACAGAATCAGCAGCATGCATGTCATGACCAGTGGTGTATTTTGATTTTGGTTTTGTGCTGTCCTAGGCAAGACTAAAATTGGGCACCCCCCCCCCGCGCATCTAAATTTGTCCCACCCTTTCACCTGCAAACTCCACCCCTTCCTCTTTAGGCTCCACCTCTTCCTATTAGAGCTCCGTCCACTGATAACGATGGGCCGCTATTCCTCCCACTGACACCAATGATGGGGCACGATTCCTCACACTGACACCAATGATGGTGCCCCATCATTAGAGTCAGTGTGTGAGGAATAGTGCTCCATCATTAGTGTCAGTGGGAGGAATAGTGCCCCATCAATGCTGTTAGCGGGAGGAATAGTGCCCCATCAATGTTATCCGTGGGAGGAATAGTGCCACATCAGTGGTGTCAGTGGGAGGAATAGTGCCCCATCAATGGTGTCAGTGGGAAGAATCGTGCCCCATCATTAGTGTCAGTGGGAGGAATAGTGCCCCATCAATGGTGTCAGTGGGAAGAATCATGACCCATCATTGGTGTCAGTGGGAGGAATAGTGTCCCATCATTGGTGTCAGTTGGAGGAATAGTGCCCCATCATTGGTGTCAGTGGGAGGAATAGTGTCCCATCACTGGTGTCAGTGGGAGGAATAGTGCCCCATCATTGGTGTCAGTGGGAAGAATCGTGCCCCATCATTAGTGTCAGTGGGAGGAATAGTGCCCCATCAATGGTGTCAGTGGGAAGAATCGTGCCCCATCATTGGTGTCAGTGGGAGGAATAGTGTCCCATCATTGGTGTCAGTGGG